AAATAAGAAAACTGGAGGCCTTTACTTAGGCGTCCTGTCATATTAATGCTTTTATAAAAATGGTGACATGCTGAGTTACAGAAGCTCTCTCAGCTTTTGTTATTCTAAAATTTTGTTCTTGCTCATATGCCTCCAGAACTGTGCCTAGCCACTCGGAGACCTTATGTTAACATCTTCCAGGGCCTCCAAGCGAGGGTCTTGAGAACTCTTCTATTTTTTTGCTATTCTTACTCTATCTCTTTCTTTTCTTTGCCTGCTTTCAAGTCAGTGCAGGTTGCAGCACTAAGTCAAATTTTTATGTATCTCTCTTGGGGATTAATGGTGAAAAAGAAAATAAACAGAAGATGGTGGTTTTTCATATTATTTCACAATTCTGATCCATATTGGAATGATTTTCTATTATCTCTTCAGTGGTTTGACTGTATATAGACAGAAAATGATAGGGAAGCAATGAGAAGAGGGAAAAGAGAAAGGCAGCTTCCTGAGACCCTATAAATGGCAGGATCTCCTCTTAGACACTCGTTCCCATTTACCTCCTAAAATCCCAGTGGTTCTGTTCAGAGGCTTCCAACAAAAATCTCGCTGCTTCTTTGAGGTCCTCCCTAGCAGGATCTATTGTACTGACAGTGGAAAATTAAAAATGCCTACAAGGCTGGATTGCTGGATTTCTTTTACCTTAGTCTTGGTTGTAGTATCAGTTACCTCTAAAATCATTGTCCCAGTCATCAAACTTGTATGAGGTCCCAGAATGGTCCAAGACTAGATCTGAACATCCAAGATATGATTCAAGACAGCTACATCTTCAATATTCCTCTTGCCCAGTGCTATGAACTATTCAGGACTGGACTGACAATCCTGCAATTAACTCAAAATTAAAAAGAACTTTGGGATTTTGTTTCTTGCAAATTTCTTCAAGTAGATTACTGGCATTAGATCATTCCAGTGATATAATTTGAACTCTCCAATCTTCATTTTACCTTTCAAAATTATACCCTATAGAGACTTAATTTTCTACACGCAGGCATTTAGATACAGTGCAAGAGGGGAAACATTTACCTTCATGTGTCAGAAGGGAGGGTTTTGGAAAATTGATAGACTGTGGAATTTAATTAAGAATCACGTTTTCACTCTATATAGTGGGTGACTGCAGTGAGGGGGTGGAAGAACATTCCCCAGGTAACCCTACAGACAAGGGGAACCAGGGCGCAGTGAGAACAGGTTTTTAATCTCCGATGTTCACCAAAATTTGCTAGACTCACCATGACAATACTTTTGACCTGCAGGGAGCCAGCCTGTTCACTGAAACAGCATATTTTTGTTAAGGACAGCCTGTGTCTGGAAGGACCCTTTCATTCCCTTACTGTGTGCTTCCTATACAAAGGTCAAGTGTAATCACAGACCACAGTGAAGAGGCTTAGGAAGCTCAAAAGGCTTAGAAGTTAAAAATGTGGTAACTGGGCTACTGAATCCAGATGGGAGCTCTGAGCCAGGCAAAGAGTGTGTCTGAAGTAAGTATTTTCTTTCAAACAGATGACACTGTTCTTGTGGGGTAGAGCTCCTACAATCCCTGAAACAGAAACTGCTAAAAAGTTTGTAGTGTACTTTAATGATCCCTGAAAAAGAATCAGGAGAGGAGTTACCCTCCAGCAACTCAGCACTTCAGGAACTCCAGCAGTTGCTGATGAGGTTGTTTACCTGGGTCTCCAAGTACTCTGAGAACTAGCCTGGAGTAGTCTACAGCACTCTCGTGAGGGCACATTCCGCTGAGGACTGTCAAAAAGTCTGATCTCAAATCCCAGCAGTAAAAGCAAGAACTGTAGTTTGGAGACTATAGGATGTGTACCAGTGACTAAGAGGATAAACCAGTGCATCTTATTTTGCAGCACATTCATGAACCTAATCCTTCATTTCCTTGGATCATTCCTGACAAGTACCTTTAATGTTTCATGTTGTCTACAAGGGAGCATCATGTACAAATGGAAAAAAAAAAATATTTTTTGATTTTGGTATGGACAGCAGTTCAAAGTATTTTCAATTCTACAATTTTTTTTTTCCTATTCTGTTGTTCCCATGTGGATTTGGGTGGGAAGGGGAAAGAATTGGTTCAGCAGTCAAATGTAGGATTTAACTGTGTACAGAGCCATACTCTCAACTCACATAAGCCCTTTTGAAATACCATGCTTTGTCCTCACTAAAAGGAAAAGCTGTTCCTTCATGTGTTAGTTAACAAAGGTTAAGTAAAGCATATTACAATCTGAATTATATAGGGCTGTTGCAGCTTGCTTAAGTGTTAGCAGGTCAAAGAGAACACAGTGTCCTTGAAAATGTTTTAGTTTGACCTGCTAACAAGTGTTGATACATCTGTCTTGTTCAATGTGTTTTTGTGTGTGAATGTGCATGTATTTAAGGACTAGAAATGTTATACAGCAAATGAAAGTCCCTCAGAATTCAGCAAGTGTCATTCAAATGGGAAGCAATCAATCACTGAGTACCAGAGTATACCACACATTCCCATACATGACTTAGTGTTTTACTGAAGGCTTTGTAGACAATACTTCTGCAAATATTTTTCATTTTTTGAGCATTTCCAAACATCAACCCATTAAAAGCTAGACAAGCCTATAAATTGCCTAGCTTTTTCACAGTGTTGATAAAAAGTAGTAATTTTTTGATTCAGGATAAGTTAGCATTTAAAAGACAGCCCTATCAATTTTTAAATTGTTAGCAACTATTCAAACTGACTCTTATTGTCTCAAAACCTTTTCATTATTCTTGTCAAAGAGGGTAGCAAAATGTTTATATATATAACTTGTGATAGTTTCTTGTGAGCAAATATTTTCAATTACCTCTGGCCTGTATGTTGCTGTTGCACTAGCAACATTCACTGACAAAGCTGAACTACATGGTCTGAAAAAACTCAGAAGGAAGAAAATCCTTCATTATGCAACTCACAACTTTAAAGGATGAGGCAGACACAACTGCTGGGTCCATTGCAACCAGAGGAAGCACCAAGAAACTGCAAGACAATGCAGAGCTGCATGTGTGCCTGCAATCTCAGGCCACTGGCTGCCTAGACACTGTCAAGGACTTGAAATATGAAAATATATGTGAAATTAAGATGTGGGAAACATTTTGCTAGTCCTTGTGAGCTAGCAGGAGTGGGCTGTTGAAGGAAAAGGTGAGGAGTTCATAGCTGATGAGATAAAAATGGAAGTGCTGGAGGTACACACAGAAAGGAGCAAGGTGTTAAAAGCAAATAGTCCAGAAAATGGTTGCAAGGCTGGGTGCATATGGAATATCTTAAGCAGTTATAATGAGATGATATTAATGAGTGTTCTAGCAGTATCCTAATGTTGAAACTTTGCTCTGTGATGTCTTTTCCATACCAAGTTCATCACCTGTTAATGCCCTTTTCTCCAGAGGGGCCTTCTTTAAAAAGCAGAGATAAATAAAGGTCCTCTGAAGGAGAGAAATACATTGCTCTGGCCATTGCAGAAGTCAATCACTGCATATGTCCAGAACATGCAGCTCTGGTGTAGGAGGGAAAGGGAAAATAAACGGATTGCAGCTATAAACAGAACAATTCTTTTTGAGGCACCCTGCAGTTTTGGTTTTGTTTTGTATCATTTTCTACTTTCCTCTTTCTATTTCACAAATTAGAAAGCTTTTCATCTTGTTATTAGGCAGAATATCTTACCTCATAGATTTGTAAGTTTAAAAAGTCTGTTAAAGCATGTGATATTTTCCACTTCACTAAAGAGATTAAAAGTAACAACTGTGCTGTGGTTTATATAAATATAAAAATTACCAAGCTATCAGCACAAACCATTTAAACAACTCTTCTTGTCTCCTGATTAGTCTACCAACAGCTTTATATTTATACTTTTATTTGGTAAAAAAATTCAGGCTTTACTCAATATAATCAGACTCAATATTCCAGAAAGATTATCCTTCCACTGTTGCTGGAAGCATAGCAACAAAGTTTGTTAAAAAAACCCAGCAAATCAACAATCCACATGTTAAACACTTTTGATACCTGTAACACATCAGCACTCAGATGTCTATAGATTTTAACATTCTACAAAGCATCAAATACGTAAGAGTGACCACTTATTAAGACTGAAATGTGGAGCATGGTGGTGAGTACTTCAGCTATTCTTAGGCCCTTTTACTGATGCTGAACCCATCACAAGAATCCTTTCTGAACAGGTTAATTGTCTAATAGATCATAATTTCTGGGGCCTGTATTATTTTGTAAGAATTTTCTCTAGCTAAATAGGAATAGCAAGCTGCTCAATAGCACTCAGTTCTGTAGAAGGCATTTACAGTGGGCCGTTTTCATCAGGAATTAGAACAGATGGACTTTTAAGGTTATTTTTGAAATTATTTGTTCTATAATAATAATAATTATTGTTTTTTTCTGTATTGCCACGCAAATTTTTTTGAGAGCAGCAACACCATCCTTTCATTGGCACTCGAACCACCATAATGTTGTTGTAGGAAGACATTGAAATCTTTGGTGTATTTTTCTGTGTTAACCTTCATAGGCAGGAAAAAAATATCCAAGATATAATAGAATAGTAATTTAATCTTGCAGCAGGTCAAAAAATAGGTATAGCATGTCCTTAATGTATTAACATGTGTATACATTAGTATCATGGCCTATAACATGACCAGGGACACTTTATATATTAATCCAATAGCAAGTTCACAAGTGTAAAAGCAAAAACTGAGCTGTATAAAGGTCTGGAAAAGCTACATTCAGTGGTGCTCAAAATAACTTCAAAAACACACTGGAAAGACTGTTGTCCCTAAGTGAAACTAAAAGCAAATATTGGACTTGACATAGTCCTGATTGGGTGGGAGTCTGAAAGGCAAAGCCAAGACTCAGGGAGCACAGAGTGGTAATGAGGAACTGATGGTTGGTTGTCAGAGAAACTGAGGGCTTTTTCTGGTTTTAAATTGTACTCTATTTTAATATACAGGTATATTTAATATACAGGTATTTTTGGTTCTTCTTATTGAACTGTGCCTACATGAGTTCATGAGGGATCAATTCACCATCTCCCACAACCCAGATCTAACAGAGAGTAAGTATTTTTCTCCTCTACTCAGAAACCTTCTCATCGTGTTTCTGATATGGTGAAGAAGGAGTTATAAAAATTTTATTGGCTTGTATCCCTGTAATTCACTCTTGAAGAATCATGCAATTTGAGAAACTCTTGACAAGAAAGTCTGATTTATTTTAAGTTTGTAATTGACATTTTTTGAAAGCATGTTATTTAAGGAAGGTGACAAAAGTGGATTATTATATTACCATTTAGATTGGATTCACCATAGGTTTGCTTGTAGTTAAAATCATCTTCTCTGAAGACAAAAAAATTTATGGAAAATAAATAGAACACAAACTTGTTCATAGCTTGCATCATCTCATAAAATTATACTTACATGAATTAATGCTTTTGTATTATGTTTGTGTAGTACAGTAAAATGCATTATCTAGGTAGTCAATCTAAACTTTTAAAGGTGAAATAATTTGAAATCAATTCCAACTAATCAAGTTAAGAACTATGTATCTTAAGAAATACCTTATGCTGCAGTACATTCATGTATATGGAAAAAAGCATTAAAATATATCTAGTTAATCAAGACTTTTTTTGGTATTGATTTTTTTCTTTTCTGTTATAGATTATTTTATAATGTATTAAATAGAAGGTAAATAAAAACTCATTTAGCATTCTTACAGTGTTGGCATGGTTTGAAACACTGAACTGTCTTTGCTTGGATATTTTGCTGAAACAAAATACTACCAAAATTAACACATTTCTGAGGAAGTCCAGTGGTATTTTCTGAGGATATCTGTATTCTCAGAAAACTTTTAAGAGGTTAACCAGCAAATTGCTTATCTAGGAGCCCTTATTTATGAATTTTTTTAATGTTTAAAGGGACTTAAGTAGTTTGTGTTCATATATGTTAAAATCAGTAAGAATGAAATATTTGAAAGAAAAGATGGAGCTTGGGGGTCTTAATCAACATATCTTTGTCAACTGAGAATACTTTTGAATTTTACTGGCACAGTATCATTTTGTTTCCCAAACTGATTCTCCTTTGGGAGAATTACACCCTTATTCTTAGCAAAAGTAAATCAATATTGTCCAACTGACTTCTCCAACTTCCAACTCACAAGTGTGAAATTGTATCACTGCAAGCCAAGCATGAACCTGGTCCATCTCTTCCACTAAAATTAATGGAAGAAAGATGTGTCCAGATGACCTAGAATATTTTGAATCTGTATTTTCTTCACTTGTGTCAAAACAATGCTTTTAATAGTATATATCTTTTTATACATTGTATGTGTAAGTGCATTTTAAATGTGCTGAATGGCCTAAATGTAAGCTGTGATTGATTATTCCCATATGAGCCCAATCTAATTCTAATCCATTGGTTAGGATATAATAAAAGACTGTTTTCATCAAGGACTTGGCATCCCCTTGAAAATTGGATTTCAATATGACAGCAAGAATGAACATAGTAGAAATTGGGAAGTTAATCAAGCTTAACCAGAAGTCATAGCTCATATAAGCCTAGGACTCCACAGTCCTAAAAGCAAAATATAGAGAATTAACACCTGGTTTTAATTAATAATGTGAAACAAACAAAGAAACAAACAAACAAAAATGTTATTGAAATATTTTATTCTACTATTTATTGTTTTTACATTTCAGAAAAGGCAAATAAAAGGACCCAATATGGTACCTACAAACTGTACTTGTGTTAAGTAATACTTTACTCCATGGGTAGTCTGTGAGTAAGGTTGTCAGATTGCCTTGTATCTCTGGGCATTTCTGAAGAATCTTCTTTTTTCTTTTTCTCTTCACAGAAATTAGAGGGCAACATGACACGCTTCAACTCACATGAACCTTCTAAAAGGTACAAAAAGTATATTTTCCCTTTTCTAGGCACTACTGATGTGCTAGAGAAAATGGAGTGTGCCTTATCCAGTTATTTGAAAAATATATGGACTGAGATGACTTTATTGTGTGAAAATCCAACAGATGTAGAATGAGATAAGATGATTTTTAGCAATTTTACCGCAGATAATATTGATTTACATGACAAAAAATAAGGGAATTGTGATGTTACAAAAGAATTTGTGGCTTTTAGATTTTAGAACTCCATAAATGGTGTCTGGACTCTTTCATATATCTCTTCCTATCCTGAGATGTCGTACTTCTGGCAGAGTGTATTGTGGTTTATGTCCATACAGATATTCCTGTCGTCTCTCGAGAATGCATTTGTGTATTGCTTTGCATGGCTCCTGAGTTCATTCCCTTTGTGTTTGTGAGATCAATTGCTCTTCATTTGATGTGAAGCTGCTTTCTAGTGGGGCTGGCTGGATGGCTGGCTGGGTATGTCTGGAGTTATCTGCTAACCTAAATAGTGGTCTTTCTTTCAGACTTTATCACCCACAAATTTTCAGATATCCATCATTATAAAACTCCCTTGATTTCTCTGGAAGCCAAACAGAAGATCAGAGTTTTTTCCATGTGGAGCAATCTCTGGACTGATTCTTCTTCTGGAGTCCACAGCCCTTTCTGTGCAGCAGTTAATGAACTGAGATACCAGAGAAGTGTGAATTTGTGTTCTAAATGATGCCTCTGATTAGCATGCAAGAACATTTAAATGAAAAATACTGATGAAAGCACACATATTTTGCACTGAAAGCTTCTTTATTTTATATTCATGCTTCAGAGAACATAACTCTCACTATGGAATACTTTCATAATGTGAATGCTGGAACGTGTGCAAAATGCAAATGCTGGAGCATTTCTATCACATCATGAGAAGCTGGTCTGTCTGTCCACCCTCTACACCTGGGAGTGATCTCTTGGAACACTCCCTGGATCTGTACACCTGCGTTTCATTTTCTACAGTTTACTTCAGTTTTGTAGTATTTGTTAATCCTGTAGCCTTCAAGAAAGCTTTGATTTGCTGGGGTTTGGATCCAGCCAGAGCTTATTGATACACACACAGGTTTTGTGGGGACTTGCACTGATCTTAGTGAGAAAGGCAAAAGATGCAGAAGAATTTGGAGACAGCCTGAAGAGATTAGTCAACGAGCATATGAAAATTTATAATCTACCTGCACTTTAATTTCTTAATGAAAAAATCCTGCATGTTTAGAAGTGGGGTGTTCACAGTGCCCAATTTAGCCTTTTTTTTTTTTGGTCTGAAACTGTCCCTGTGCTTGGTAGTAAGAGAGGCTCTGGCAGAGGGTATTTCAAAGCAGGAGATATTGCATAAGGAAGTTAACCCCTGAGGCCAAGGATGGCCTTTATAAATACCCTTCACTAAAACATTTGTATTTTACTCAAACATTTGGTATACAAACCTGAATTCCTCTGCCTTAGGAGCTGATTAGACCCCTTGTAAAAGCCAGAATTATGTAGTGTTTGTTCTAAGAGATGGTATATTATAACCTCTTGGGAAAATCCAAGAGTCTACCATGTATTGCATAATTAAGGAAACAGAAAAATTGTCAAACAGAAAGCCAGAGTAAAAGAATGTGATAATTTTTGAATGCTGTTATTTTTTAAAAATTAAAACATTTGAACAAGTGTTAGGACTTTTTCTTTTTCAGAAATCATTTTTAATTCAAAGGAAGTCAGGTTTTGGGTCTAAATAACTGTCATATTGGTAACCATGCATTTTCATTTCTGTTTTGATTGTAGTTTTAGCTGAGAAAATCTGGGAAGTGATAACATTTTCTCTAGCACTGATGTAGCTGAATATGTCAGGAATGGCTTGGCACTTGTCACTTTTTCAGTCTCTAGGCAATTTGGAGCTTTCTTATTTGTGTTTTACATATAACATAAGCAATTATATCCCTCTGTTTCAAGGAATGGCCAGGGACCCTACATCCCTGCATTGCACTGAGGTTTGTGTGCAATGACTGTGAGGTCTCTCAGGCACTCAGGCCATCAGTTTCTTGGGAAAGAAGGAGTCTGAACTTCTGCTACTTGCTCCCAAAATTGTGGGTGACTTTGCAGTTTAATCTTTTCTCAGCTCACTGCAAGATGTGGAGGGAGAACCTGTGAACAGCTTTGGGCTCCAGAGCCAGGAGGTCTATTTCCATCCTAGCTGCAGCTCTTTGCAGAAGCAGCAACAGCAAACTCCTGTCAGCAGTGGTTCTTCTGAGTGGGACAGTCCAAGGACATCTTTACCAAACTCAGGGAATACCACAAGTTCCTACCAAGAAATAGATAACAGAAGATTGAGGTAAAACTTTTTTTTTATGACAGATGATTTTAAAACTTAGCAATAATAATACTTATGACTAATTTTGTACAGATGAGGAAGGGCTTAACTCGTACAAAGTTATTTAGTTAGTGACAAAAATTTATTTTCATGAGTACTGTTTTTAATTTTGAGCACAAATGAATAATGGCCTCACTTAAAACCTGTGTGCTCTTCACCACCCCCTGTACTGTTTTTAGGAAGTTTCCCAGCTACATGTACTTTTTCACATTTGACTGCTAAATGAGATATTAGTGTAGAAAATGTAGCATGCATGAGAATTCTTTGGATTTGTAGCATTTTCTTGGGACAATTGGATCTGCAGAGCACCAGTTTTCATTCTTAATTTTTTTTTGTTTTTTTTAAATTTCAAAGCATACTTGAAAATTTCAGGCAAATCAGTCTTATTGTATGGATACATTGGGGAACAGAGTTTTTCAGTTATTTTAATGCAAAATAGAGGTTAACCAGATTTTTTTTTTTAACATTGAAGCCTTGCCAATGCTTTTCACGTTTATTTAGCCATATGTTGACAATTCTAAAGACAAAAATATATCTTTGAGAACAAACAGAATATGAAATCTAACCTCTCTAAAACTCCACACTTCAAGGCTAAGAAATTTCAGTGAGTTTTTTCCTGTTTCTTTTACATAATTTTTAATTCTGCATTTACACTTAAATTGAACTGTCCTCAGAAAAGGAAAACTGAGCATCTATAACTAGATCTCACGTACTTCTCAAAGAGGAATATCAACCTGTATTTGGCTAGCTTATATAATTTTATTATGATATCAAAGTTTTGCCATATTTTGGAAGACAGTTGGCATATTTTTAAACACCTATGAAACCACCCCCAATAGCAAATACATCAATTTCATAATATTTCCATACAACTTAATGAAGCTGTAAGTACACATGAAAGGTATCATGAGACCTTTAAATACAGCAAGTATATTCTGCATTTTAGATAAATAAGTCTACTAGAAATCCACATCTGTATTTTACCTTCTAATAGAGGTATTTGAAGGCATATGAAATATTTAATCAACAAGACACATCAACATAATAATAAAAATACAAGGACAATTTGTGATATAAATCAACAATGCCTATAGTGTTTTAGTGTTGCCAGTGTGTTTCAGCTTAGTTTCTCTAAGCAAATACCAGAAATTTGCAATTTTAGAGGAGTATTTCTTAGTAATTCAGACAATGACTTGTTTAAATAGATTTGATCTGCTTTTTTTTCACTAAGAAACTAGGTTAAGGAAAAATAAAAGGTATTTTCAAAATATATAAAAACATATTATCCATATTATTACTTTAAATTATATTTCAAATTTAAAGAAAATTCAAAACCATGAAGCATTCCTCACTCAGCCTTTGACTAACTGTAAGACAACCAATTGATAAGAACTTAACTAAAAGAGCAAGACTTTCTTCATCTCTTATTTTTTGAAAAGAAATCAATGGAACTATGAAATTTTTCAATATTTTCAGGAAATGTATGTGCATTTCTTCCAGAAGAATGTGCAATGTAGCAGTGACAGCTAACATGACACAACTAGGTGACATTCTGACAATGGGATAATTGTCCAAATTTCCTTCATATGTTCAAGTTCAGTTTTAATCCTATTTAAGTCAGTCTTGCCTCTATAAAAGTCCTTTCATGTTGATGTTTTCCATGACTAGTGAGTCCATTTTGAATTTTCATAAAGCATTAAAAGGGTTACTGATGTTATGATAGTGTGGGAAAGATATGCTCCTTTTGATATGATTTCAAAATAAATGCTCTAATGAATAAAAATATGATAGATGCAAACTAAAAAATTTATTTATTTCATTGTTCTTACAGACGGAAATAAAGTGATCAAAATGAAATGAAGTCCTTTTATATGAAATATATTAATATGGGAATGAATTAGTATTACATGAGATTTAGGTGATTTACCAAAAATCACTTGGGAATCTGTAAGAGAGATAGAAAATTAACTCCTGAGCTGTTAAGTACTAAATTGGTCTTTGGACCACTTGGTCTTGACTTCAGGTTTCTCATGCAAAGATTATACACCCAGGTTGAAATTAAATCAGTTTTATCATAATGTTAATACATCCAGATATAATCTTCTACTAGTCTCCACCATGAATTAAGTAACAAACATTAATAAACTAAAATGAATGGAAATTTTTCATATATTTCTATGTCAGTGAGTTTTGGGAATGCAAAATAATTTCAGTGAAGTTACACAAGAGAAGACCATGGACCATTAACTTCTGGAATTTCCTGACCTGTGTGGTTGATTGAGCAACCTCAATGCTACATTTGACTGTAGGCTTTGCATTTGACTGTATATATATTTTATACACTTGCACATGTTTTAATATAACCTGTGTGGGGTATTTTCATTTCTGAAATAGCTGGAAGGCATGACCTTTTTTTCAGCAGGGGAAAGTTCATAGAGAATATATAGAGTGTGTATCTAGTTTGTCAAAGTATATTTGACTGAAATTTTCAGTCAAATCTTAAAGGATTTTCTTCTGGTATTTACTTTGCATGTAAGACATGTCTGGTTTATCATTATATAAAAGATTAAAAAGCCTTTGTCCACCACAACTTTTAAAGTATAGCTCTGGTACTATTTCCTACCTGTTTGGGGCCTCCCAGGGAAGTGCAAAGGTAAGCTGAAGTCAGTGGGGTTTGTGCCACCCACTAGCGAGCATGGCTTAAATATCCCACTCTGCCTCTTCACTGTCTGAAATGGTTATGGTCTGCACCTCATCACCTTGCCAGTGCATGTACAGATGCATATACAGATGCATGCCTGCTGTTCTGGTGACCTCAGGTTAAATTTAAGATAAAGAGCCATCATATTTGTGAGTGTACAGACACGTTTAGCTGTTGGCCTGAGGTCAAGCCCTTGAAATAATGTGTTGGAGGTAGAAATAAGTTAAATAACTCTTAGAAGGTCCAAAACTCACAAAGAGGTCACTAAAATAATCCAAACTCACAGTCTATAGGCTGCAAGACTGGTGCGTAAAAAGAAAATACAGCTCAGCTTCCAACTCCCTTGTAGCGGTTCCACCCTCCTATACCAGCACTGACTGTTTTTGTGACAAACAGGAGTCAATGTCAGCTTTGGAGCCCTGGCCTTCAACTCTTCTTTTAACTCTACTTATGTATATTCATTTGATGAAATGCTTTGACATGTGCTGTTTTTCAGTGACCACTTGGGAAAAAGTAATTGATTTAATTTTTTTTAAATCCAGGGAACATATCATCTTGGCTCTGCTGAGAAATGTTTTTGCATTTTATTTACCTCTCACATGTTAGGTTTTTGACTCTGTGTAGAGAGGCTGCATAGAAAAGCATCTTGTTTAATATAAAGCTTAAGCCGCTGGTTTACCAAGTCCAGCCTCCATAAAAATTATAAGAGATGAATGTGAGCCTTTTCACTCTCTGCTCTTTCTGCATCTGTAAGGTGCATTATACTCTGCAAAATATGACATATTGGTGAGCAATTTAGATAACAAGAATGAGATCTGATTGCATCTAATTTGCATAATCTAAACAAAAAAGCAAAGAAAGCAAACCTTACAGCATGTCAGTCAGGGAATAAAAAAACATTCCTCACTGGCATGGAATGAAAGAGACATAGAAGATGAATCAAGCCAATGGACATACATGGTTTTGCCAGTTTCATCCAACAAATAAATCAGCAGTGTCTTGTTGGATCAGCATCCAGTCAGGTGGAACAGAAAGGAAAAAGAGCTTTGGAGGAATGCTAAGGACATGGACTATAAGACATTCCTTAGCAGCTTTTAACAACTTAGCCTAAGGCTCAGTAGCACTTTGGTCATAGCAGCTAAAAGAGCCCAATAAATATTCAAATTATTGAATATTTATTTATTTCTTCATGTTTCTATTTCACAGCCTTTTGCTGCCCATGTTATGCTCTGTGCTGCTATACCTGTGCTTCTGGGATTATATTAACTAGGAATCCTGAAGACAACTACACAATCTGCAGCGTAGATGTCCCTCAGCAGCATGGAGGAGGGGCTTATGTCATATCCCATGTCATTATGGGAAAAGCACCTGCTCATGATGTGTAAGGAATGGCACACAGCTGGCCTGCTCTAGGAGGTGCCCCTGTTGCACTGAATTATCAGCTGAGAGATAGAAGGTTTTTTACTTCTTTTTTTTTCCCCAAGATGCAGCTTGATTCAGTGTTGCTAAAAATAAACCACAATAGCTCAGACTGTGCAGCACTAATAAACCTATTTTCCCTGAGAAAGATGATTTAAGAATTATTAAATCTCAAAAAAAAACCCAACAAAAAAAAAAAAAAAAAACCACAAAACAAACAAACAAAACAAAACCAAAAAACCCCCCACTCACTTCTAGTCCAAAACGAAGAATTTTCTGACATCCTCGTGTGAATGTCTCTGAGCAACTTGGCTAACATGAGTTCCAGTAGGCTGGGGAAGTGCAGAGAAAAGAAACCTTTAGGGAAGAATTTAGAACTGTTATTTTGCACTACCTGTCTCTGATTTCTATAGATGCTGGAATAATTAGGTGGTTAGGAGAGGTGTTTCATTGTAAGGTACTCCAGAAAACTGCTTTTCATAAGAAAAAAAAAAGTTCTAGCAGCTTCTTTTTGCAAAGCAAAATTCTTCAAGGAAGAATCATATTCTACCCTGGGAAAATTACTTAGGAAAGGATGCAGCAAAAATGTGTTTTGCTCACAGCAAAATTTGTAAACCTAGAGTGGATGAGAATAACATATTTCTGTGCCTTTTGAAACTGGCAAAATGCCAGGTTTTTCTGCCTGACTTTATTTTAACATTTATGCAGTTGTATAGAGCATAGTTACATTTATCTTGGGAGAGTTACACTACTGGCATGAAGTTCCCTGAAAGTGGGTAAGACTACAGAATGAAGTACATCATGGATTGAATTTTTCCTGTACTAATTTATTTCACTTAGGTAAACTAAGTGCCACTTCAGTGCCAGAGAGTGGAGATTAAAGCAGAAGGCTTTAGCATGACTGAAACATGATGCCATGAGAGACTTTTGACTTTGTTAATTACCTTGAAAGTGCTAAAAGAAAGCAGTGGTATAAGGATTTCAAACCAAGGCAAAATATATAGCTACATATAACCTTGCCTGAAGTTTGTTTTCAGGGAAGCAAGTCCTCAAATAAAATTAATTAGGAAACTGCCATATCTTAAAAATCAAAGTTAGATTCCTCATAGAAAAATTAAGGAATTAATGCAATTAATTTCTCCTTGCCAACATTAAAGAAGCAGTGAAAATGAAGATTGGTAGTATTCTATGAAAATGCAGATGTAATGTATGAATAT